ATACTTTCTACCGCCAATGCTTTCAGTAGAAGATGGACCACACAAGTCAATGTGAATTAACTCAAGTGGTTCAACGACTTTAATGTTTATGATGGATGGGTGACTTTGACGACTTTGCTTCCCCATTTCACACGCAGCACACAAATGTTCTCGATCAAACTTGAGCAATGGAAGACCCCTAACATGACCTCCTGTGATGAGTTTATTAATATCCTTGAAATTGAGATGGGAGAGCCTTCGATGCCACAACCAGCTTTCATCAGAATGTGCTTTGGATAACAGACAGATAGCTGGGTTTCCTTTGATAGGTTTGAGATTGAGAGGAAACATTTCGCCTTTGCGCTCCGATTTGATAATTACCCTTTTTGTTTTCTTCTCTATTATTTCTGAACCCTCATCATCAAACGAAACTTTAAGACCGGTACCTCCAACAAGCTGAGATACACTGATGAGATTGTGCTGTAGTCCTTCAACATATGCAACCTTTCTAATCGTGAAGTCTCCATTCGTTATCATCCCATAACCTTTAATCGTGCCATATGAGTTGTTCCCGAACTTGACATTCCCGCCATTTGGAAGTGATCAAAATTCCCTCAGCTCTTCTTTCCTTCCTGTCATGTGACGCGAGCAGCCACTGTCAATATACCATTCTTCGTCGAACTGCTCGTCACTGATAACCTGCAAAAATTAAGCAGATTTAGGAACCCAATGTTTCTTGGGTCCACGTGAGCCTTTCACAGGAACAGGAATAGTAAGAGAAATATCAACGAGATATGTTCTTTTTATTAAAGTTGTTTCGTCTTTCTTCTTAATAGTGTAAACTTTAATTTTATTCGGATTTGTTACAGTTGGTTTATTCGGATTTGTTACAGTTGGTTTGAATTCAGGTTTAGGTGTTTGGACTTTAGAATGCTTTTGATCAGTCTTGTCCGAGGAAACCTTCGATTTTCCTTTCAAATCTGTTGAAGATTTTGGATTTTGAGTTTGAGCAAAGTTGGATTTAGAATGGGGTTGAGAAAAATTAGAATGAGAGAATTTAGATTGAGAAGTTTTCTTGACTTGAGATTCTATGTGACCCTTTTGTTTGTGGTCATGAGTGAGACCGAACCTTGAACCTTGGTAACTTTTGCTCTCGGAAACGAACCTATGCTTTCGGTAGCTTGTGTGCTCTGAACCGAACCTATGCTTTCGGTAGTTGGTGTGCTCTGAAACGATCCTATGCTTTCGGTTGTGAATACTTTCTTGCGGTCTGACTTCTCTTTTCTCTGACTTCCTATCATGATCAGAAAAATGAGCATTTTGAGATCGCCAGAACTGTTTTCGCTCTGAGAGATTCTTCTTGTATCTCAGATTCCTCTGTTGCTTTTGATTTTTCACCTGTCTGGGTTGCCTGTGAATATTCGCCTTTTGTTTTGGCTTTTGAACAACAGGTTCGCTTGTTATAGATGAGGTTTCGTTTGTGGAGGTGACTTCTTCTACAAGAATTTCTTTAGTGCCACTGGTACTTGGCACGTCAAAGTTATCAGGCTTGTTCAGCGGCTCTGGTACATATCTTCCTTTTGTTTTCCAGGACGTTCGCTCTGATAAACCAACTGTTTCATCGACATTATCGATGGCTGCTGTTCAAATGAAGTTGAGTGATGTTAGCATAACGCAGATGGCTGCTGTTTCATCTTCCTTAAACTCAAGGAAGGGCAAAATCATGCGATGAATTTTCTGCCCTATTTCAGAGTTCAGATGAAGTTGAGTGATGTTAGCATAAAGACGTTTAGCAATTAAACAAAAAAACATTTCTCTGTTTCAAAAGTTTTAAATTGACTCTTTGCAAATAAATGTTTTCATCTTTGGATTTAATCAGCTCCGACTTCTTCAGCTCTATCCACATCCTCCCTTCTTCACTCTTGGAAGACACCCTGCTTATTTGGTCAGTTAGGTTAGAATTGGTGACCCGTGTTTGAGTTAAGCTACTATCTAGATTTAAGATTCTTGAATTTAAGCTTTTTAATTATTTTTCATACGAATTTTGTGGGACTTTAAATGAAACAAAAACAGATTGTACCTTCTTGATCAATTCATCTAGCTCATTGATCTGCACGAGATGGTACCTTCAATGTATGCCTCTCCATGAGATGGTTTCCTGACTTCATCACCCTCCGAGTCGGATGACCAGACCGGCACGCCACCGAACTCATCATCCGCTGCCGAACCCTGCACAATTAAAGCATTCATTGAAGGGTTAGCAGTAGCTTTCTTTCTCTTGATCTCTTCCAGCTTTTTCATCAACAAGGCCTCTTCATCCTTTTCCTCATCCTTCTCTGTCATTTTCTTTAGAACGCAGTCTTTGGCATAGTGGTTCTTTCCTCCACAGTAGTAGCAATTCACACCTGAATCTCCTTCAAATTTCGCCTCTTTCTTTGGTTCCTCTGTCTTCGGCTCTTCCCTAACCTTTTCAGAACTGTAGCTTCCCTGCCAGTTTCGGTTCTTATTGGTAGGGAATCTCTTCTTGATAAATCTCTTTCGATTAGACACCATCATTGCATAATCTTCAGAGGTAAGATCATAGTCTTCTAGGTCCAGATCTTCATCTTCTACCACATTTTTTCTTTTAGATAGGACGGCTAAGGATCCCAAATTTGAGACTACATTCTTCTCTTGCATGATAATCTTTTCTTGGGATTTTAAAATTCCCACCAGCTTTGCCAGCGAATAAGACTTGAACTGCTCGTGAGCTTTGACTGTAGACACAACAGATCTCCATTCAGATCTTAAGCCATTCAAAAAGGTGACATTCTGTTCAATCAGCTTCCTTTCTATATCGTGTTTGATCATCTTGCTAAGAAGATGATTGAAGCGATTGAACGTCTGAGTAACAGTTTCATCAGAATTCTGCTTAAATTCACCAAACTTAGACGAAAGCAAGATCTGAATAGAATGCTCCAAATCTGCATCTGTGGAATATAGCTCTCGCAGCCTATCCCAGATTTCTTTAGCGGTACTGCAGGAACATACCAATCTAAATGTATCAGATTGAAGAGCGAATCTGATCAGTCTCAATGCTTTAATGTTGCACTGAAACTTTTCCTTTTCGTCTTGTGCCACATCTTTAACATCTTTTAACAAATCATTATACTCTTTCTGAGTTTTAATAATTTTGGATGTTCCTGAGTGAGCGAATGGTCCTGACACAATAGCTTCCCATACAAGATACCCATTGTCTTCAGATCTAATGATGTAGTCTTCAAAGTGATGCGCCCACACTTCGTAATCTTGGGCGTAAAGAATAGGAATCTTTGTTGTTGATCCAATACTGTTTGAGATGTTGATAGGATTAGATTGAGAATCGTCCATGCTTGATCCTTTAACCTGTTTGAAAGATCAGACTTGTAATATATAATATTAGGGCAAAACGAATAAGTAATGAGATACGTCAATTATGGAGTGACGGCTCAATAAATATCAGTTAATGCGGAATAAACCCTAATAACTTCTTTCACAGAAGAGATGTGTATCAATTACACAGCCTCCTGCTCTGATACCAATTGATGAGATTTAAAAACTCTTTGATCGATTAGATCTTTGTAACAGGTAAATAATGAACATAAAAATAATGAGATAAAACACGAGTATGGATCTGAATGAGTCGAATGATTAGATTACTCAATCCTCAGCAGAGCTCGATTAAGAACTTCCGTTGTAGAGGATTTTAGGGTTACAAAAGATGTCTTCTAAAACGAGACGTAAAAACAATATTCAAACTCTGTTAAAAAGATGCATGCAAGCATCTATTAATACTCAAACCCTAACAAACAAATCACGGATGGATAGGCCCATACCGGATACAAAATAGGGCTAAGAGACAAGCCCAAAATGCAACACCATATACTCAACAAGCATAACAACTTCTATTTATTAAACTAACAAATTTCAGCAAAGATTATTCACATTTCAGCAACAATTATAACATTTCAGCAACATTTTATGGCATTCCAATAATATTTCATTACATTTCAGCAACAATTCATGATGTTTTCAGCAACAATTTATAACATTTCAGCAATATTTTATGACATTTCAGCATCCATTAATGACATTTCAGCAACAATTCATGACATTTCAGCAACATTGTAACAATGATTCAACAGCATTTCGGCAGAATATCACATTTAAGCATAAATTTATGACATTTCAACATAATAAAAAACATCTTCAAGGATTTGATAACATTAGCATCAAGATTGAACAAGAACAATGATTCAACAAGAAAAATCGAAAAATTAAGAAGCACGAAAGTCGAAATTGCTCCAGCAAGAAAAAAAAAACAAAAAAAATCAAGATTAACCATGGCAGAATTGTTGCTTCACCAACAATTAATGAGGAAAAAAAACTTACCGAGATGAAAGCAGAATCGGTGCCGACGACTAGAATGAGCGTGCGACCGGGAGGAGTTTGCACCCGAGAGGAGGGAATGCCGGTGGGAAGGTAGCTGCGTCGGCAAAGGGGTTTGATTGTAGATGCGATCAGCGATGACGACGTCTAGAATAAAACAGGATGGAATGCTTTTTTTTTCAGGTTTAGGTTTCAAGAGCAAACTTAAGTGTTGTCCCAGAACACACACAACGCACATAGAAGTTTTATACTCCGATGATAGACTACGGAAAAACAAACTGTTGTGGGATAAAAATTGTTGCACATGTGCTGTGTCACACAGTACAAAATGGTTTGAAGAGGTTTTTTTACCAAAAACAAATCGCAACTAAGTTTATCTCTACTATAATACATTTACCAAAAACAAGCCCCACCTAAGTTTATCTCTACTATAATACCTAGGAAAGGATAAAGACTGAATCTGAAAGAGAAAACTAGATATAAAAACATTTTTCAAATTCAGGATTACTCCAACATTAACGAGAATACAACTAAATGTTCAAGAAAATCGTTTAAATAAAATTCTTTCGACCGCGGGTCCAACATATTATTGAATGGAAACAAAGAAATGATTCCTAGTCTTGCCGGTTATACTTTATGGGCACAAGGCAAAGAGGTGTTTTCCGACGAAGAAACGGGTAGCCTTGCTCTTCCATGTCCAGATCTTCGTTCTTCACTCCATTTGGTGTTTCCCAATTGAAGAAGTACAGAAGGTTTGCAATAGTAAATTCTGCAGTTGAAGTTGCTAAATTATACCCAGGGCAGCCTCTTCTTCCCCCTCCAAATGGGATCATATCAAAACTGGACCCTCCAAAATATTCCAATGGAGTATTTTCAAATCGCTCCGGACAAAACTCGGTTGAACTTTCTTTCCAGTTTCGTGGGTCCCTTCCTATGCCCCATGAACTGACCATGACTCTCGTACCAGGTAAAACATCATATCCACCAATCTGACAATGGCTTACACATTCACGTGCCAGCAGAAACGGAGCAGGTGGATGCAATCTTAGCGTCTCCTTCACCACCATTTTCAAGTATGTCATGTTGGCGACATCTGATTCATGTAAACTCGCTTTTCTCCCAATGATGCTTCGAATCTCGTTTTGCAACTTTTGCATAACTCTTGGATTCTTTACAATCTCGGAGAATGCCCACACCATGGTTATAGCCGTTGTGTCAAGCGCTCCTTCCATCACATTCTGGAATACAAATATTCACAAAGTTAACTCACGTATATTATTCGAACAAATATAATGATATGCGTTCAAGAGCATTATTGAAATCTATATATTCGAATGTATAGAAAATTTAATAACTTAAGCTAGCTTGTTTACCACCAAAAGTGCTTTCAATTCATACGTAGTCAACCCAGAGGTACAGTCATCAACGAAATCTTTTTCCTGATCACTTGTTTTTGTTTCATGTTGATCAATAACCATTTGAAGAAAGCCATCAAGATGACTAAAACACGTCTCCAGCCTACGATTCCACCCACTTAATCTGTCCAAAATCGGCCCAAATGTTGGAAAAATATCTGAAAACGAACCACCAAGCATGACTAAGGACTCATCAACTATCTCTTTCAATGTCATACCATTAAACTTCTTTTCACTATAACTATCACCAAATGCAACCTTACACACGACTTCATTTACTATACTTAAGAACATATCATCAAGATTTACAATAGTGCTAGAGGTATGTGATGTGAGAGAACGAACAACACCCTCCATCTCAATCTCCATCACGTTTTTATATAATCTACTTCTTTTAGCACCTAAAAACTCAGATGCCAAAACCTTGCGCATATGTTTCCAATGATCACTGTATGGCGAGAAGGCAGCGTCCATGTAGTCAAATGATAGTCGCTTGGAGGCTTGAGAATAAGGACGCGAACACAACTTCTGATCATGAGTTCTTAAGACTTCAGCAGCCATTTCACTAGAGGAAATCACAAGGAATGGTTGCGATCCAAAATGAAGAAGCATAGCTGGGCCATATATGTGGGAGAGTTTCCATAGGGTTTGATGGATACCTTCGTGACCTAACACTTGGTGAAGGTTTCCTATTATGGGAAGCCTCCTAGGTCCTGGGGGAAGCTTAATGGATCTTTTACGTTGAATGTTACGTATAAAGATGTAAGGTAAGAAGAGAAGTAATGTTATGGAAAGAAATCATGAAGGGATGAATGATAGGATATTAACCATGTCGATATGGGATGTTTTTTTCTCTTAACTGCGCATCTACATGGTGATGGTGTGTTCCTTAATTTATATGCAGATGAAGATGACAGTAATCCGTGATATTTAATAAGTTTGTGAAAGGGTAGTGGTTTAATTATATAAACAAAAAGATAAAACTGTAAAACAGCTAATTATAATTAAATATATTTTTAATTACATGTTTAGAATATAAACGCGTGGATATTTTTTTCCGTGCAACTTCTTTAAACAATTTTTTTTTTTTGAACAACCATTTTATGTAAAAAACAAACTAAGCAAAAATCTAGAGGAAAAGCCAATTACAAGAGTCGTACACAAGGGGGTTTTGCAACCACTTGGTCGAGAGATTTTAAACAAAAAATATTAATTAGCCGGGTAGATGCCTTATGCCTGCTCAGACAGCTGAAAAAAGGTTAATATATTTTTATGGTTAGAGATTATAATAATTAAAAATAAAAAAATAAATAAAAATAAATAAAATAAAAAACACTACAAGAATAATGGGCATTAGTGGTGACGTTTTACCGGCGACAGACACCTTTAACGGTGATACATAACTTTCGCGTTATGTGTCGCCACTAAAGGTGACTGTCGCTGCTAAAAGCGTCACCGCTAATGCCTATCGACCCCGATCCGCATCAAAATATGAAGTGAAATCTTAGCCGTTGATTTTATCTCTAATCCAAGGACTGAAAATCGATAGTGTACAAACCAATAGCGGCGACGGTGTCGCCGCTAATACTCAAAAATTTTGACCGCCAAAGTTTCCCACCAAAGTTGTCACTGATAATAATAAAAAATTTTGACCATCAAAATTTCCCCTCAATGGTGTCGCCGCTAATACTCTATATGTCGCCGCTAATACTCTACCTGTCGCCGCTAAAAGTCGTCGTCGCTAATTCCATTCGCAGATATAACCCATTCAGCTCCTTTTTCCCCTTCTATGAACTCATTTCTCAGCTCCTTCTTCCCTCTTCTATGAACTCATTTCTCTTTGTATGTAGAATGCGTATTTTATATATGTTTGTGAATTTATATGTATATTATGTATGTATGTGTATTATTTTGCGCGCGCGCACACACACACACACACACACACACACACACACATATATATATATATATATATATATATATATATATATATATATATATATTGTTAACACGCTGTCGTGCACGTATTAAACAAATAAATTATCACTGATGGTTGTATTAAAAATATAGCAAAGGGAAGCATGGTCGAATCCTCAGGGACACAGCCTAATGGTCAATGCCTTTTTGCATCAGACACAACATTGACTTGGTTATTTGAGATGCGTTCTATCTAAGCTGGTACTGAGAAAAACTAACAAGTGTAACGCCCCGTTCTTAAGGTATTTAATTATGAGTCCCTGAGATTTAAGAGGAAGGGTAATTTTGGTCCTTTTGCGAGAAATGGGTTTTATCCGAGAAGGTTTGGTCAAGTGTGTGGGTTGATAGAAGCATAGGGCTTCTCGCCACTCTCGTGTGAATGTAAAGTTTGTTGGGAGCGGGTTTAGAGTAGAGAAGTTGCGGCGTTTTGAAGATGATAATTGATTATAGCTCTTAATGGAAAAGTGGAAAAAGGTCCCATGCAAGCCATGCATGCGTGCTTGGGTTTGGCTGGGTACGCCCAGCGTAGTGAGGGAAAGGAACGCCGACCGGGGGGGGGGGGGGGGAAGGTGAGTACGCCCAACGTACTAGAAGTACGCGCAGCGTACTCTCAGAAACCCCAAACCCTAATTTTAAGGGCAACCACTATATAAGGAACATAATGGTTCCCTCCTAAGGCTCCATAGACACTCTTTTACCCCCCAGAAACCCTAGAAATCCATATTCCCTCCATTGTTGGGTGTGTTTGGTCTTGGAAAGCTTATTTTGGCAAAACAAAAGCTAGAAGAAGAAAGGAGAAGTTATCAAAGAAGGAGAGGAACGATTGGAGCTTATAGATCTGGAAAGACATCATCCTTTAGAGCCTATTTGAGGTATAAAGCTTCTTGCTTGACATTCTTATTGCATAGATCTAAGTGTTGTGAAGTTTTGACATCATTCTTGTCCCAAAAGTCCTCATCTTGATGCATGTTTTGAGTTGGTCGAGATTATCTATCCTTTCAGACCTTATGAGAGGTCTTGAGTGAGAAAAATGAGGTCCCAAGGGTTGTGGTTGTTCCATGTGTGAGATATGTAGGTCCTAATGGACTAAGACCTTGGATTAAGAGCTTTATGGACGTCCCAAGTGATAAAGTTTGAGACTTTATGAATTCTAATCATATTTGGCCTAAGGATCTAAAGTTTAGGCTTAAGAGCTAAAGTCATTGAGCAGTTGTATGATTTTGTTGAGCTACAAGGTTACGCCCCGCGTAACCTTTGAGTACGCCCCGCGTAGAGAGTAAGTGCCCCGATCCCCTTTGCGAATCAATGTTGTACGCCCAGCGTACTAGAGAGGGTACGCCCAGTGTACTCCCCCTGTTGGATTTTCCATTTTGGGCCTTAAGGTTTGGGCTGTTTTTGGGCTGTTGGTTTATGGGCCATGGCTGGGAATTTTTGGATAGAGTATTTTGGGCCCAATTATTATTATGAACCTTGGATCTAAGCCCATTTGGTGAGGAGGGCCCAATTTGGTAAATTGGGCCAATATTGGGCTTGTAAGAGATTTGGACTTTGGCCTTGGCCCAATAAATGGATGTATGTTTGGACTAATGATTATTTGTTATGATGGATAGTTCGGGATCTTTCGGTGAGTTGGTGATTCAGGAATCTGCTTCTTCAGTTCATAGTTTCGGCAATCGCGAGGTGAGTTATCCTCACTATATCAACAGGGTCTAAGGCACCAAGGCCGGCCCTTTATCGGATTGTAATCCGGGTATCGTTGTTATGTTGTTGCCTTGTTATGTTTGCATCCAGATATTAGGATGGTATATGCTAGTGAACTGTTACGTCGGTACCCTGCTTAGAGTATGTTATGATACGTGATTTGCTGGATCGGTTTGATTGAATGTGAATTGTTATATGATTGTATGTTTATGTGCACATAGTTGTTGACTGGGGTTGGGTTGAGGCGGGACATGCTTTGTGCTGTAGGCCAACATACCCAGGGCGGACCAGTTATTCCGAAGGCCCAACAAGCGGTCCGGATAGGCTGTAGGCCCCACAAGGGCGGACCAGATGTGCCGAGGCTCGGAGAGTGGACCAGGCTGACTGAAGGTCCGATGCGGGCAGACCAACCACACTGCAGACTCGAGGGACATGAATAGACTCGGAGGGTGGACCCGGTGAACTGAAGGCTCGATACGGCGGACCAGCCACATAGTAGACCCGATATGCATGACTGTTCTGTGATTGCTTATGATATGACATGTTATACGTGTATGGTATATCTGGTTGGTATTTTGGGGGTATCTCACTATGCTTTCGGGCTTACAGTTGTGGTTTAATGTTTTTTAGGTTCTTCAGGAGACCGTGGCAAGGCGAAGGCGTGATCGTACCGCTCCTCGTGTTTATGTTTTATGATATGGTTCTAGGAATACTCTGGTAATAAATGTATTGAAAACCTTTTTCTAAAAACTTAAAGTAATTGGAATGTTTTGAAAAATTTAAAATTGGTTGGAATTTTTCGGTCGTTACAACAAGCTCTAGTAATTCCACTTTTACCTTATTTAGTTAACCAAAACAAGCTCTTTAATCAACCCTAACTTTTTATTGTTCAATTAAATAAGCTCTTAATTAAATCAGAAAAGTTGCATTATAATCTATATAAAATTCCTAGCAATATCCAATACTTCTCACAGGCTCGGAAGCATAAAGATATGATTTCTACAGGTTATAGCAGAGTTAAATCCCAAAACGGAACCAATCTGATACTTGTTACTTTTACCAGTTGACAAGAACAATTACGGATTCTATTAACTGATTAACTGAAATGATAAAACCCTAGCTAGGTGATCAAACTAACAAGAATCAAAATCAAACATTCATTAAGAACAAAATTGATGAATCAAGATAGAAACACAAATCAAAAACCAAATCTAATGATCAATCACATGAAAACTACTTGTCTTATGCAAAACTGAAAACTAGGGTTTACCCAGACTGTTATACCTCGTTTATTTATTCACTAAATAAATAAAGTAATAAATACAATTTTCGGATTAATTTATAAATGATTTTAAAGTCAGGGCCTAAAAGTAAATTCTAAACTTAAAATGCAACTTTTGGATTCAGTTTGTAAAGATTTCTGAAGGCAGGGTTAAAAGTGTAAAATATGAACTTATTTTGAAAGAAAAGAAGGAAGCAGGGGCCGATTATGTCATTATGGAAAGAAGTTTAGTGGGCCACCGGGTGTATAATGCTTACGGGAACCCTAACCCTAAAGAGGGAGTTCAGCCACCATGTGTGGAGTTAGCCGCCCCCTCCATTTGTTCATTGTTCCAATCAGTGAGGATAGTCATTGTTGCCGCTCCTTCATCGTCCAAACACCACAATAGTGCCACTCTCGTACACCAGTCGAAGTCGTGAGCCACCAGAAGTGTTCCCTGTCGAGTGTCAGCGAATCTGCAACATGCTGAGACCGATGCTGCTCTTGGGAAGGACCGATCGAAGGGTTGCGGTTGGGTCTCGGTGTTGTATGCACCACCATGCGACCGTTTCATCAAGGGTGTCACCGCTCTACTGCCGATGTCAAGCTAAGGACCACTATACACTCAATCCACTGAAGATGGGGGCTGTTTCTGGACATCGGGGCTATAAGG